GCTCCCGATGCATGAAATGGTCCCGAAATGCAAGATTAAGCACATGAAATGACTTGTAGCTACATCAAGCATGCATTATTCGAACATGAAATGTAAAGACAGGTTCAAGGCAGCCCCAAAAAAAGCATGTTTACTGTTTTAAGGAAGGTCAAAAAATGAACACAAATGGGGCTAAGATAGCATGCAAAAATGGCCCTAAATGTGAGGTAATGAAGAAAGTCACAGCTTCTGGCCCCAAACAGCTGAGGGTCCTTCAACAATGTTGAAGAGGGACCCAAAATATGACCTTTTACAGTTTATGACCGAGCCAAAAACAGTACACAAGCATGCTTAAGATACCATGCAAAATAAGGCCAAAAAGAGAGCTATAACACAAAGTACAAAAAGGATGCCTCAAAAAATAAATGAACCTTAATGAAACATGAAGAGGGGGTCGAAATAAGGCTGTTTTCAGTTTGGACCAGAGTCCAAAAACAGAAACACAAGAGGCTAATAAATCATGCAAAAATGGAGCCAAAAAAGGGATATAAAGGCAAGTGGAAGATAAAAGTCTCAAACAGTGATAAGCCCTTCAACAATATTGAATAAGGGCTCAAAATAAGCCCCTTTACAGTTTATGACATGCCTCAAAACAATTTATACACAGGCCAAAAATACTACACAAAGAAATGGCATACAAGGGAGATAATGAAGCAAGTGAAACAAGGAGGCCTCAAAAAGTGATAGGCCCTTAAAAAAATATGAAAAATAGCTCAAAATAAGCCTAGTTCCAGTTAAGGTCGGAGCCCAAAACAGCAAGAAAGTATGGCTTAGAAAGGATGCAAAATATGGACCAAAAAGAGGGAAATAGAGCTTACCCTTGTAGACCAAACTTTAGTAGCCTTTTGGCTTGAGATGCAGCACTCCTAGGCCTTGAAGAACAACCTCCAGCTGCTAGAATGGAGGATGGAAGGGTGGGGCTATGGGTTGGTGAAGAAATGAGTGTAGGACTTAAGGGTTTTGAGCTTGGAAATAGAGAGAGAGAGAGATATAAGGCAAGAGGCTTAGGGGAGATTTTTTGTAACCCTCAATATGCAGCTGGAGGGCCTGCTATATAGGCAAAAGAGGGGGGAAAAGGGGGGGAAAATGGAGGGAAATGAATCAAGTTTCCCCCCAAAAGGCCAAACCCTCGGACATAAGGCCTAGAGGAAAACAAAATTCACTTCTAGGACACACTTGGGGAGGGGGTTATGGCCGGCTAGCTAAAAAGGGCAAAAAAGTCATTTCACCATCTAGGTGGCCGGCCTGCTAGATTTTCTGGCCGGCCAGCTACTTTCAGGACAAAAAAATGGGCTTCCGAAAAGAAAAGTGGCCGGTGGGTGATTGGGAAGTCCAATGGTGGCCATTCAAGTGTCCAAATTGAAGCCCCGGAAGTTATCTTTCCAATGGCACAAACCTTGCATTAAAATTCCTCTTGTGGAAAAAGTTATGCCAGTTTCCGTGAAGCCGCGCAGATTCGGTCCCAACCGGAGTGATGCCCTACTTCAATCAACTATATCTCCCTCGTCCGGAATTGGATTTAGGAGATTCTTGAGTGAAAAATGAAGCCCCGAAAGTATTATTTCCAATGGTGGTGGCCTCATAGCTTGATTCCAAGTGTGCAAATGAATAGGCCCGATTTGGCGAGGGCTGCTCGACTCTTTCTTAACGGTTCATGCCCATTTTCTCCCCCAACTGGATTTCTTCCCTCTTCTCCTCTTTTCTTCAACTTCAAACCCCTAAGCATGGTGTTTTGAAAGATTTTTTTAAAGATTTCATCTCTCTTTCATTCTTTTCCACTTTGCCCTTGCTCGGTTTACCGAAAAGCGCAACATTTGACAAAATGCGAGCCTCGGAACATCGTAAAAACTTTATTTCAAAAATGTTTTGAAAGAGAGGGTTTTACGGCTAAAATCTTTTGATCAAGATTGTTTTGGTCCAAAAAGGGGTATGAAGTTGAGCTTTGACTATCTCCTTGCTGAAGAAATTGAACCTTTGCCCTGCACATCTTCCAAAACCATCAGTCGCGTCCGAGTCTTAAAGGCGGTCAAAAATGGGGTGTCTACAGTACATGTAATCATTTTTTACTTGCATTTTGTTTATGATAAATTACTTGTTTCGTTGTTCAGGTGTTGATGCATTCCCTGTTGAATAGGTATATCAGACTCGTACAAATACGACTTATTCATATGTTGATGCCCTCCCAGTTAGATTGAAGCCGTACATACATCTTATCAAGGATGTAGATGTCGATGGCAATTGTGGGTTTAGGGCCATTGCTGGGTTGATGGGGTTTACAGAGGCTGAATGGGGTCAAGTCAGGCGTGATCTCCTACAGGAATTGCACACACACATAGACCATTACACTCATCTATATGGTTTACATAACAGGATTGAAGAACTGACCCATATTCTATCATACTTTGAGCCCAATCCAGGTTATCACCGTTGGATGACTATGCCTGACATGGGTCATCTTATTGCATCTTGTTATAATGTGGTATTGTAATGTATTACAAAAATGTATTAGTAATGGCTACTAATCAAAAAGTTACTAATACATTTTTGTAATGATTAACAATTAAATAGTTGAGTTTGATTAAACTTTGAGTTAATTTAATGCACATGGTACTTCTTGTTCATTGTGGTGTATCAAACGCAATGGCATAATACTTCCTCTTCATTACCAAAAACACAAACCATGAATACTTGTTCATTACAAAATATTGGTAGAGTAATTCTTGTTCATTACAAACCAACAAAATCATCAAAAGAGTACTTCTTTTCCATTACAAAATAACAAACCAAGATTACCACATAACCAACTACCTATCATCTACTCGTCTCCTACGATTGTATGTTCAAAGTGGGATAGAACTAGGTCCAACCTCATCAAATTGTTGACCCTAAAGAACACGTGTCATCCTCTCAATGGCCTCATATAACCTATCTGGCTCACGAACACTAACATCATGGCCTGCCTTGATGATAGGATGGGCAATCCGTAGATACAATTGTAATTAACATGTGCCATCTTCAAAAAAAATGTAAACAATATGTGAGCAATATTGTCATACCTCAACATCCTGCATGTAAGATCGACTATCCTGTGCACATAGGTCAAAACCAAACCGATGTGTGGGGTTCTGGATATATAAGTGTTTGATGGTTGTATACCAATGCATGTAGCCATCAACACAATCTGCTAGACGTCTGACTAGGGTACTCCTCTTCCAAGCAGATAAAACATGATTATCCCAACTCTCTCATATTTGATCAAAATACTGATACATCACTCTATATCGGCCTGCTGTGACACCTCTAACAGCACGAACAGGGTCGAGTGGCGCAGGTGGGATGGTCTGAACCCTACCAAACTATCTAAGAACCCTTTTAGGATGATAGGGTTCAACTATATCCACACACTTCAAGCAGCCAGTATAGAATGCGATCTCATGACATGGGTGATGTTGACGACAATGTCGATATGGATCCCAAGTAACCTAAGAGAGAAACACAAATGAAATCTTGATGAGTGACATGTAATGAGAAAACTTAATTAAACTAATATTAATTGGCATACCTCATCAAATGCCAATCTGTCAAGCTCCTCCCGTAATGCCTGTAGGTGTGATATCGTTGAGCCAGCTTCCCGACAAGGAGTCCATCGATGAACGTGAGGCAATTGTACAGTATATTCCATGTTTTGGTGAGGTCTAAATGGCCAGAAATGCTCATAAATCCATGCCTCCAACAATGTTATGTAACTAGCCATCTGTCGAACAGTTCATCTCGTGGCAAATCTCAACTGTCAGTATAAATATGCCAATACAGCTGCACCCCAAGCATATATATGAATATCAGACAAATCCATCAACAACTGCAAGTACACAATAGGAACTCTCGCCACACTCTTATCGCTGAACAGTGTACATCTCAATAGAAATAGCAAATACGCTCTGGCGGCACAAGCTATGGATTCCTCCATGTGTGAATCTTTGCAACCACTGAATTTGCTTCGTAACCACTCCAGCTTCACTGATTGTCCCCTAGCAGATGATAGCTCCTCAGTTGCTTCAGCATCATCAACTCCCAAGGCATCTACCACAAGTGCATGTGCTTGTTGATCTGTTAAAGTTGCAGCACTAATTGGTCTACCTGTGATAGGGATCCCCAAGATGGTACCCACACCATCCAATGTCATTGTCATCTCACCAACTGTCAAATAGAAAGTATTTGTCTCTAGTTGCCATCGCTCAACAAATACAGATATGACAATCCTATTCACGAACCAATATGTGCAATGGACCAAAGAAAATAGGCCTGACAGCTGCACAATGTCTCTGAACCTTCTATTGTCAGTTCTTGACCACCACCGCCACTCAAGAATCTTGGATGCATGATTATAACACCTTAAGGGATTCTTCTCCTGCAAGGTAAGTAATAATTTACATAAATAATTTTGTTCAATAAATCATTAAATGAAACAAACATGGATAAAAAATATACTACCTTTTGCTCCCATATAGCTGCTGCAATATATGCCTTGAAGCTCTTCAGTACTGATGGATCTGATGGCCCCCAAGGAAACAGACCAGTGAGTACCTCCTCAGCCTGATCTATATTAGCAGCATCATCATCATCCCCTGAACCATTATCGATCACATCCTCTTCCAAGATTTGAGGTGCTTCCTCCAACACAGTATCATCACCCCAACCTCTACCCTGACCCTGACCTCGACCTCGACTACGACTAGTATTAGTTAATGCATGACGTCGTCTCTCTGAGGCAGTGGGTGGAATACGCGAAGGGTCATCCATTTCTGAAAATGAAACAGAAAACAATAAAGTTAACAGAAGTAACACTATTACAAACAGTACTTGATGTTTTCAGATTGGTGTAATCCATACACATATACGCTTGATTGGAGGGTTAGTTAATTGCCCAAACAGTAACTGAGATGAGGGAAACATGGTCTGAGACAAACATTCTGTTTGGATTATATGTTCCATCTAAATGTTACTTAATGGACTGAAGTTGAATTGTTCTTTTTGTGTCTGGTAATCATTCCATGTACGCATTTGTATGTACAAAATTCAAATTAGGAAAATGAGTTTGCAATGCTTTACTTATTCTCATGGGGCTGCTGCATTCTTTTATTTTGCTTCTTATTGGGTAACTATATTGAACATATGGGTTCTTGTGACTGTTAAAGTGAAACTTTTACTAGTGGTTTGATTTGTATTAGTGTTTCTTATCTCTCTAGTTGTTTTGTTTTAAGAATCAGATTTGTCCTTCTCCCTTGTAAGAGAGCTGACCTTTTAATTGGTATTGAGCTTAAGATGAAGAAATGTTGAGGATTCTTGTCAGGAATATTATCTCTATCATACAGAACTGTTGATTGTGATTTTGGAACACAATATCGTTCTTTTCTTTCTTTTTAAATTTTTTTAATCTCCAGCTGTAGGCAATCTGTAGGTACAATATCTTTCATGTTCCAATAATGATTAATATCCTACACTAGTAAAATCATGTTGTTTTGTTTGCCCTATCATTTAAAAGGCACAACTTCAAGAAATGGAGTCATGACTATGATGGGAAATGGAGTTTCAAACAAAAAGTGTGTTTTGAGACTTTTGTCAAATCACTAAAATGAACCTTTGTTATGAGGCGAAGCACATCATTTTAAATGCTGCGAGTAACATGCTAATGTCATTAAGTTCAATTGTATGCAAAAATTAGTATACAAGTAAGTGATCCAAGTTTAAGGTAATATGAGTAGTCATTTCTTGGGATTATTGCAAGTATTTATTCTAGCAATGGTCATTCTGTCGGGTAGCATGAATATTATAAGTATATTATAGCATTCAAGTCAAGTGATCCATGTACCTACCAATGATCATTATGTAGGTGTTCCTTGAATGTTGTTTTGGACTATTTTTGTTAATAATTTAAATAGAAGAAACTAACTTTATTTTTATAAGAATATATATGGAATGGAATACTAAATGGCATGAGCAAGTAATTATACATTTTTACAAGCAATCAAATTAGCTCTTAGGCCATACTCACTAACTAATATAAACCTGAAAATTTCTCGAAATCATTATAGGAGTCTTATTAAGAACAAGAAATTGTTCATTTAAGGAAGCAAATCAAACGATTGTAAATGTTTTACAAGGCCTTTATTAAATCTTTTCATTTAATATAAGGTTTTTTTACATTATTGTCTCCCTACATTAATGTTCACAAAAAAAAAAAAACCCTGTTCGATAGTATCTGTTCCGAACATATTATAAATGTTCGGCAATCTACATCCGAACATGTTCGATAGTCACCAACCGTACAAAATGATATGTTCCGAAAACCATGTACCGAACGAATTTAGGGTCCGAAAATCCAGTGTCGAATAGAAGACTGATTTCATTCAAATACATTTCATGCCAATTGGAGATAAGTACATAAAACCCGAAAATAAATGATAACTCACCTACAAAATCTCCAATGTGAAGTTCCAACTGTGTTGAGCACCACCATCGACGACATCTTTGATGAGTGTTTTGAGCAATGTATTCACCGGTTTAAATAAGAATAGAGGGGGAGATAAATATCGTGGATGTGGGGTATGTGAGTGAGTGAGGGCAAAGATGGAAGTTTGTGGGTATATTGTTGTGGTGGGTGTGTGAGTAAGAGTAAATGTATAAATTTGTGGTGTGTGATGAGAAAATATTTATTTGTCAATTATTATAGGTGTGGCCTTTAGAAGTGGTTTGTCTTGAGATAATATTATGTGTGTGTAAATAGAGGCATCCCAGGTTATAAGTGATTTTATTTAATATCACTAGTTTATCTCTTAACCATATGAGATCCTTTTTTGGGAGACCCACAACTTCTTTTTGAATTTCAATTATTGATGTTGTGGGGCCCCACACATACATCTAATGATTGAGATCTAAAAGGGTTATAGGGTCTAAAAAAAAAAGTCCCAGCATTTTTTCTTTATCTCTTTACACTTTTTTTAGTAAGATTTTGTTTTTTCTAGTTTTTATCCATGTGTAAAATTACTTTTAAGAACAAAAGACTAGAATTTAAATATAAGTTTATTATCTGCTGTTATACCTATTACTCTTCACATCCAATACATGTTTTTATGTCTTTTTGTCTACTATACATATATCTCTTTTTCAAAAGTGAGAAATCATAGTTTTTGCATCATAGAATTAAAGTAATAGATGAAGAAACGGCTAGGTGAAGTAACCATCAAAAAGTGAAATTCAGTGATTTTGTTTTATTGTTTGTTAGGCATGAGTTTTCGTTTTGTTTTTTTAATAGTTCTTCGACTTTTGTTCGATGTATCAAAAATCGAAAAAATAATTAGTCGGAATTGCATTTGTTCGACACAAAATAAGATATATGTTCTGACGTATACCGGAAAACCAGGTGAATAAAAGATTACATTCCGGGTAAACCCAAGGCGAATGTTTTAATTTGTTCACTTACTCATTAATCGCAAAGACTACATTTATGTTTCAAATTTTTTATTTTTTATTTTTTTGCTTTGGGAAGATTATGTTTCTATTCATCTTACAGCAATGAAAATATAATCAGTCCAGCTACTATGAACATCTTGAAGGGCACACATTTTTTGGTAGCTTATTTGAAGAGGAAATCATTGGTAGTTTGACGTGTTCAAAGAGTTATGGTGTGACCAAAAGAGATTATGATTACATTGAAATGAAAGGGATGCCTTTATGCGACAACAAAAAAGAAATCATACAACACATGTAAAAGCAAGAGGGTAACTTAGACAAAGTTTATTTTAGATTCGGCAATATGACACATAGAGCAGTTGTTGTGAAAAAGGCGTGCCATAGGTTTGCCAGGCACTAGCAAGGCGGCCAACCAGCGTGACTTAAGAGGCCAAGGCGAGGCATAGTAGAACAGCTGCGCGCCATTGATTGCGAACTGGGAGAGGCTGCCAGAGAGGCCGCAAGGCTCACCCTAGGCGGGCTTTTTGTGTTTATTTTTTATCAGATCTAAACGGCTCAAAATTGTTGTTCCAAAAAGCCTCCACGTTATAACGATTACAAAACTCATATACAATAACATAACAACCCAAATCAGAAGACGACTTCAAATCAAATCCCTAATCAGGGTTATCTCCTTCGACTGGACTCTTCTCTCTCTACTCAGAACCGGTACTTCTATCTTCTCCGAACCCTGTTGGCAAATTTTTTTTTCTTTCGCTATTCGAAGCTCTATTGATTTTTGTTTTTTGTTTTTTTCTTACTTCTCGCTCAGTTGGTTTGCTTGCGTTTGGTTGGGTGAATTTCTTCTTCTTCTTCATCTTTTCTTCTTCTTTCTTCTTCTTCTTCTTCCTTTTTCTCATGTTGCTTTTTGCGGGGTTTTTTTTCCCCCTCTTCTTCTTCGCTAGTTGTGCGTTGTGCTTGTGCTGGCGTGATTTTTTTTTTTTTTTTCTTCTTCTTTCTTTCATCTTGTTGCTATGCTGGATTTTTTCCCCCTCTCTATCTTGCATAGTTGTGCTTGTTGCTGGGTGAATTTAACTTCTCTGCTTCTCTTCTTCTTCTTCTTCCTTTCACTTCTTTCGTGCTGGTTGCGTGGGTGAATTTCTCTCTATTTTTTTTCCCTTCTTCTATATTGCTTCTTTTTCCTTTTTCTTCAATTCTGCCTTAGTTAGCTCTCTGTTTCTTCTTTTTCGTTTTTCTTTTTTCCCTTTGATTTTGAGTCTCGTCTCTGTTAAAAAAAAAAATACAAATAATTTAATTCATCACGTAACATTACTTCATTATACTGAAATTATTATTTTGTATTTTATTTTTTGTGTTGTGTAAGTAAGTTTTTACTTTAAGTTAGAAAATGACATCTGAAAGTAAATAGAAAAAGATCCGACGTTGCGCGAGATAGCCCCTTTTGTAGAGGAGAATTAAATCTTAAATTAAGTTGAGATGTTAATTTTTGTGGGTTTAAAGTATCAAATGGAGGTGTTTATCGGATGAAAACCAACACCTCGTGGGGAAGGTTATAAGGAAATGGTCACTGCTTTGCAAGTGTCGAGCTTATGTATAAGGAGAGAGTATTTAGAGAGTTCATGTCAAAAAAAAAGAAAGACACAAAAGGGAAGAAATTGAACATGTGGCCATGATTTCGATGGGGAACATGGGACATGGAGGATAAAAAGATTGAAGGATTTGAAAAAAGGATGATTTGATTGGTTGTTTTGAGGATTCAAATTTGGGGTCCAAAAATTCCCAAAAAAAAATCCCTTTCTTATATCC